TAGACCAGAGTGAACCTGGATTCCAAATCTAGATTTCACCAAAGTCCAACATGGTGAACCAATTAGTTTTTTGGTGGGGTTACTTAAAGGAATAAGGGTGAAGGGTTACTTACAGGAGCAGAAATGACTCACAGACAGCTGCATCGCCAAAGCCACGCCAGCACAGGCGACAGCTCACAAAAACTAAAACCTGAAGCACACTGCACATCCTGCAGGCAGCTAAGCAGGCTGCAGGGTGTCCTCCCTATCCACGTGGGTGGCTCCATTGATCCGAGTCCCTTCCAGGCAGTTCGACTTGTACCTGCTTCTTCCAAGCTGCTTGGCTGGTCTGAGTCTTCTTTGCGGCTTGTCTTGTCTGAGAGTGGGTCTTAGAAGTTTTTATTTTCTATTCTTGGGAAGGAGGAGCTTAGGAAAGCTGGTCAGTTTCAGGGCTTCTGGAAGCTATTTTGAGTTGTTTACTTTCTCTCTTAAAGTGCTTCCCTGCAGGATGGAATACATTCTTTCTGTATCCCCTCTTTCCCCATGATCCTGAGCGTTGGAGGGGTTGACTACGGATAGGACATGTGCCACAGCAACAGGAGCATCCTGGGGCTTTTGAGTTGAGGCTAGCAACACTGATCAACCGACATAAGCACCATAAACACAAACATTTGTGTTTGACAGGCAGCCCTTTGATAAACAGCACCCATTTGATAAACAGCAGCGATGGCTTTCCCACGAGGGCCTATCACTTTGCCAGCCACATGTTTTTAATCTACGTTCCCATTAACAGATGTAAATGAAATGTAAATGTCTCCCTGTGGAGAGAAATTGGGCCTTATATCCGATCAGATAGTTGTTTGTTTCCATAACCATTCCTGCCATTATTGCGCTAGACGCAGCTCGCCTGGCACTTCTACCATGAAGGATGAGCCCCCACCACAAGCCTGGCACTTCTACCATGAAGGATGAGCCCCCACCACAAGCCTGGCACTTCTACCATGAAGGATGAGCCCCCACCACAAGCCTGCACTTCTACCATGAAGGATGAGCCCCCACCACAAGCATTCCTTTGTAGCTACTTCTGGCACTATAGGAGTTAGCTCACAGGAAGACCTTTCAGACCCAATTCTAGTTTTTTTTTTTCTCCAAGTCCTGCAACCAATGTATACAATGTCTTCAACAATAGGGTCTTACCACTCCGTTCTATAATGCGACCCACAACTGTGGCAACAGCCATCATCTTTTAGGCACTAACACGGCCTCCTTTATCAACATCCCCTAGAAAGGTAACTGACACTTGGTAGTGGGAGTCTCAGTCAACAACCTTAGGGCTTTTGGTAGCATCTGTTTCTACCCTTGCTTATTTGTGAACTAATACCTCCCCGGCACTCACCTGCCTCTCCAATGGCTTTCCAATCTTCACAACATTCAGAGGTGAGCACTATGTTATCTATTGAACAAAAGCTTTTACAGAGGATGAGCAGGGCAACGTAACATCCTGAACTACAATCTCAAAACAGATGGTGAGATTGCAAAGATAACCTCGGTGAATCTGTTGTGGGCAAGGGTCAGGTAATCCCAGAAGTTCACAGCTAAGAAGATGCTAAAGTGGAGCACAAGCAAGGTCTAAACACAGCCTGGAAAGGTTCCATCCGCCTGTATCAGTTACTTCCTCCACCAATCAAGGTCTGTACAAAAGCAAGGCTCGGAGCCTGTAACTTCATTAGTTCTCTGTGATCCGCGGTCATTCTCTCTGAGCCTTTACATTTCCATACGGAGGAGCTCTTCCATGGGGACCCTTCACCCCTGATTAACTCATTAATCTGATCAACCCCACCTCCTGGGGCTAAGGGAGAAAGTGGTCCTGCTCACCCCTGCTGCAATTGCTGGCTTCCTGGGTCAGAGAGACCCCGGGTTGGCACAGTGGCTGTTGCCTCCCCGTTTACCACACCTGGTTGTTGGGGGAATTCCTGGCTGGACAAACCATCTCCACCCTAGCGTAATCTTTTCCTAGAGCGAAATGTAATCTTCTTAGTCTGGGGGATAATTGCCCACCCCTGGGGCAGGCTTGATCATCTGCACCTGTATTGTCCTACCGTGGACTTCTTCTGTGAACTCCTCAGACTGAAGCCCTCCAGAACCTCCGTAGTCAGAAAGCATACAGTCTGGCTTTCTATCATTCTTTCCATAGTTCTCCAGCTCCACCCAAGTTTTGCTACATTTGTCTTCACGTAATCCAAACAGATCTCTTCCTCTGCTTTGCCTTCTCTTTTCTCTCGCCTTACAGACACTAAAAATGCTGGTCTAAGCTTGGGTCTGCCAAAGCCTCTTCTGCTTTATAAAGATCTCGCCCAGCAAAGCTGCTAAAGCTCCAACCCTGCCTTGAGGTCCTTGATGGATCTCTTTTCCTTTACCCCTCTGTGAACACAGTTCTATCGGGCCCAGTTTGGAATTCAAACACAGCTTTTCCAGTTCCTAATTCCCTTGATAGCACCTGTCCCCTGTCCCCAGCCCTTGATATTTGTGGGGACCTCAGAAGGAGATTAAAATTATTCCTAATAATTCCTCTGATAAACCAGCCCATCAGGAACTCATGTCCCTCACACTGTATTACAGCCATGTAGCCCTTGCCTTAAGGAGGAATGGACAGATACCTTACTCAGCTTTTCTGCCTCCACAGCAGGCAGACTGATCCCATTAACTCCTGTGTCCCACACTCTCACAAACCACACTGTGACAGGCTCATTCATTGATTCAAAAGACTTCTCCCAGTTCCAGCGGCTCGGATGCTGAATGCTTCCTGTATGAGACCATTGTTAAGGTTGCCAGGTGGTAGAGGCATGGGCAGGTGGATCTCTGTGAGTTCGAGGCCAGCCTGGTCTACAAGAGCAAGTTCCAGGACAGGCTCCAAAGCGACAGTGAAACCCTGTCTTGAAAAAAAAAAATCCCCACCTGTATGTTGGGTCACAGATCTTTCTGGCCTCCATGGGTACCAGGAATGCACATGTCTTCCTCAGTGTTCTATTGCTTTGAAGGGACACCATGACCACAGCAATTCTTATAAAGGAAAGCCTCTACCTGGGGCTTACTTACAGTGATAGAGGTTTAGTCCATTGTCGTCATAGTAGGGAACATGGTGGCATGGAGACACGGTACTGGAGAATTAGCTGAGACTACATCTGGATCTGTATGCACCTGGAAGAAAGAGAGAGACTCTGGACATAGGTTTTTGAGATCCCCCCAAAGCCCATCCCCAGTGACACACTTCTTCCAACAATGCCACATCTGCTGTAACAACACTGCCACACCTCTTGATCCTTCTCAAGTAGTGCCACTTTCTGATAACTAAACATTCAAATATGTACGAGCCTATCGGGGCCACCCTTATTCAGACCACCACCTGGTACAGAGACATAGTGCAGACAAAACATCCACACACGTACAATAATAAAAAGAAAAATGGTGTGTTAATATGCAGAAGGGGACTTCTGAACCCTCCGAATGTAAAGGCAAGGGCAACAGAAAGCTTTTCTGGGAGACTCACTGTAGTTTTCCAGGCACACAAACAAAGAATTTTAAGAATAAGTGTATAGATAGGCACAAGCAGAGTCCATGTGATCTGGGGAATTGCAGGAGTAGCTCAAGGTGGCATACGTGAAAGCCATGTGTGGTGTTAATTTATTTTAAAAGGCCTGTCTCACATATAGACGTGAAAATGTGTTAAGGAGCTTATTTCTCTCATCAGGTACGTTTTGTAACTACTAGTTCACAGCTTAAGAATAAAGAACAAACACATTTATGGATCAGGATTATTGAAATGGTTATGGAAACAATTTAAGTATAAGTAGAAATTAATTTCTTTGCAATAAGATGGAAAATTGATTACGCTATTAGAAAGAATGTAAATGTGTATAGACTATTATTTTGAGTTTCTGTCACTTTAGCTGTTTAAAAAGGAAAACAAGACAGGAAATGGTGGCACACACCTTTAAACTTGGGAGGCAGAGGCAGGCAGATGTCTGTGAGTTTGAGGCCAGTCTGGTCTACAGAGTAAGTTCCAGGGCAGCCTGGCCTAGAAACACAATTGGAAGTGTGCCTGTTTTGCATAGTTGTCCACTGAAGGTCAGTAAAGACACGAGGGAAGTAAGATAATAACCGACTAAACAATCACAGACAGGCACGTTAGACAGGATCCAAAAAAGCACACAAGGAGTTTAAACTCTGTTCTAATCTTTAAGTGAAGGAAGTTCATGAAGGGTCAGGGTGGGAGGTGCAAGCGTCCTCCTTCAATGGAGAGGCAAGACCTGGCAAGCTGGTCAGGTTTGGCTGAACTGGGCAGGGATGGAGACATCAATAAAATTTAGAAGCGTGATGTTGTAGGTCAAAGTCTGCGGGCCAGAGAGACAGCAACGGCAAAGGGAGGGGAGGAGAAGTGACAAACACCGAAAACAGAACCGATTAGATTTGGCAAATTTATGTGTGAGGGATCCAGGAGAGCATTTAGAAGTTTCTCTCCACCAACAGAAGAGAAGCAATCTTTTAGAGAAATAAATGGTATTGCACGTCTGAAGCTGGGGTGGGGGGCCTGGGCTACCTGTATGGAAGTGGAGGTATTAGGAAGAAAGCGACAGTGGGCACCCGGGAGACTAAGGGAGTAGTTAGAAGCCGTTTAGGTAGACTATGGTTAGGTTAGTCGGGGTGCCTGGGAGAAGGCGCCCAGGTACCTCCGGACGTTGAGGTCTGGAGGAAGGAGGGGGAGGACCACCGGGGTGACATCCACAAACCCGCCGGGGCAATGAGGCCCTGTCACCTCCAGCTGCAGCCAGGGCCCTCGACGGAGCATGTGGCCAGGCGGACCGCGAGGCACTGAGCCGGTTGCCTCCAGCCGAGCCCAGCCCGCTCCACTTCCGCTTCCTGCCGAGTCGGTAGGCGGTGCGGTGCGGTGCGGTGCGGTGCGGTGCGCAGCCAGGCCAGGCCCAGGGCAGGCAGTGGGCTGTGTCCCGCGGTGGAAGCAGCGGTGGAAGCAGCGGTCGCAGACCTGGGGGCCTTCTAGGCTCCCGAGAGGGGCTGGTCGAGCGGCGGTGGGCAAATGCGGCCACCAACGCCGCCCTCGGGCCCCACCACGGTCCCAGGACGCGAAGGCGACGCCCGAGGCCTGAGGAAGCGAAGCCTCCCGCTGACGCCAGAGCCAAGCGAGGTGGGAGGCTGCAGCCTTGAGGCCAGGGGGCGCGAGGAGGAGAGCAGGCAGAAGAGGAGAGAGGAGACAGAAGGTGACAAGTTGGGTGAGACGTCCACCGCCTGGAAGGCAGCGAGCGGAGGGGACGGGGACCCGGTGGGCCTTCCTTGCAGAGGAGCAACGAAGGAGGTGGAGCTCCCTTTTCACCCCAGAAGACACAGTAAGAGAACTGGGGGCCACACCTCAGCTGCCCTCCGTCTTTGTTTACGGCTAGCCTTTAGTTGATTTTGTGTGGGCACTACCAGTGCGCGGGATGGATGAGAGGCGGGGTGGGAAGAATTTTCCTATAAAAGTATACGTTCATTTAGGAGCCCGTCATTATAATGGCTGTAGAAGGAATTAATAGCAGTGGTTTAACTTAACTAGGGTAAAATGATGTTATTAAGGGTTTTTTTTTTTTTTTGCCGTTTTAGAATTTATAGAGGTTTAGTTGTAGTTCTTAAAGATGGCCACAGTGATGCACACCCATAATCCTGAAGATGGGAGGCTGAAGCAGGAGAATCTCAAATTTGGGGTCAGCCTGGGCCAAAACCTGTTTGAATTTTTTAAAATATTTAATATTAAAATCAGTTTTGTTTCTAAACAGCTCTTCAGGGAAATACAAATGGATGGCTTCACAGGTTTTCTGTTAACTGGTGTTGCTTTTTTTTCTGCCCGGTATAAAATGTCTTCTGGTATGTTTTTTTTTTTTTTTTTTTTTTTTTTTTTTTGGTCAGCCAAAGAGAAAGGAAAAGTTACTGAAGCCCCAAGTGATGATCCACAGCCAGGGACTGACCTGGTAAGAAAGGCGCCATTAACCAGTTCGAAGTCTTTACAAACAGTGGAGTGCAGTGAATTTCAGACTATGGCTTTCTTACAGTCTTTGGCTAAGGAAGATTTGGTAGACGATATTAAAAGAAGGATTCGAATTAAGAAATGTAAAAGTTTAGAAAATCCACCTCTCAAAATAACTAAGGACGAGGCATTACAAAATAGTAAGGTTGAATTCCAAGATGAACTGTACAAGAATACTCCGAAATATTCTTGTAACAGCTTGTCACCTGGAGTAGAAAAAAGTTGCAGTTTCGAATCACCTGATCACAGTTTCCTCCATTCTGAGGGTTTTGATAATGAAAACAACTTTGAGCATGAACCTCAAGGTGTATGGGTGCACACAGCAGAGAACTCTTTGAAGTTAAAGAAAGAAAACCTTAGGCATCCTGCAGAGAAGAATGATAAGCTGTCAAAAACGGAAGGAAATGTAATAGCCAGTAAGTTACTGCTTGAAGAAAGTCGTTTATACCAAAATAAAAACAATGGCTTGATTTCTTGCCTTCAAAGTGAAAAAAACAAATATTCGGTAGAGGAGAACAGCGCTGGGAGAAAACACAGAAAAAAGATGAAACTGTCTGAAAAAGAAGAAAAAGTTATTGATCTTAATTTCTCTAATGTGTATAACAATTCAGAGTTGGTGTTACAAGAAAACCAAATGGGTGTGGAAGGGAAAGAAACAGAGGCCTTAGAGCCTAAAAAGAGTTTCCTAAAAGCTGTGAGAAAAATAAGCCATAATACGCTCTCTCCAGTGGACCATTTATGTCTCCCAGAAGCAGTAGAGAAAACAAGTCCCAGACATCAAGTAAATGCTGTGTTTCAGAAAGCCTTTGAATCACGTTTGAAAGAGGATATAAAAAATACTTCAGAGTTCTTAGGATGCAAAAGTATGGATCCAGAAGAATATTTTAAATCAGTGATAAGCTCTTCGGCAAGATCAGCTAGTGATAGTCACCGTACGGGGAAAAGATCTCCATGGGGAGATTTGAGAAATGAAACTGAAGAGCCAAAGGTAAGCTGTCGCAGAATTATACCAATGACTGGTAAAAGAACTTGGCCTTTTTATTCTTGTGCTAGAATAACAGCCCAGTGTTGGAAAAAGACTTCCCTGTCAGGTTTAAATTTCTCACTTCCAGGATCTCTGGAAAATGGTAGGCAACATGAGTCTATCATACACCAAACAAATCAGAGTCCCTTAATCAACTCCAAGCTGTTACAGCAATCCTTAACAGAAAGAACCATTGAGTCCTCAAATAAAGAAATGTATGATTCTGATTTAAACTGTTTGTCTTCAGTTTCTTCAGTAGAACCTACTTTGATGGTTATAAAGGAAGCTGTACCCAATGATAAAAAGATAGAGGAACCCAGAAATGGGACAGAGGTAGTTTCTAATGCTACTGAAGACACCCAGTTAACTAATGTAACTCAAAGCTCAACAGGAAATAAGAAAAAGAGAGGGAATTTATCAAAACTTAATTTGACAATGGCATCCCAAGAGACTCAGGAAGCAAATAACATTGCAAACAAAACTATTCATCGAAAAGCTTGCATTACTAAGCAAACACTTGTGGCTCCAGATTTCGTTAAAATATTAAACACGGGACGGCTGACTAATTTTAAAATCCCTTTACTAAAGAACAAGACAGGAAAAAGAAAAGAAGTGAATGCCAGGTCATGTGAGAGAGATGCTTACAGTCCCCTAGAGCTACTAGACAATTTGTCTGGAGTAGAAGCAAAGCAAATCAGAAATAAGGAAAATGTCTGCGCAACAACTTCAGGACCTCAGTCTTTGAATATACCTAAGAGTGTAACTCCAGGGCAAGCCATTTCTCACTCATTCTACAATAAGAATTCCTGCACTTCTCCAAGCTTTGCAAAGAAATGTTATGATAATAAAGCGTATAATCATGTCTCTGAACCTGGCAATATTATTTCTAATAAGGAGACTATGTCTCTTAAAATTGAAAATAATGCTTTTTCTTGTGATCTTGGGTTTATTGAGCAAAGTTCATTCTGTTCTAAGGAACAAGAAGCATTTGTGCCGATTCCTTCTGAAGTAAGTGGTAGAAAAATGACTAAAAGCATTTCAGAACTCAAATTGGGGTTTCCAGATATTCTTAAAGCATATGAAGATGATGTCCTCTTAATTGATGTAATTCAAGATGACCCGGAGCTCTTCGGAATCTCCAGTGAAGGGGAACTCTCATTTGCTTCAGAAGTCTCCAAGATAAGCCAGGAGCCCAGTGTACCTGAAGAGCACCCACCAGCAGACTTTAAGCACATGCAGCTTCCAGGGAAAAAAGAAGCAGGTGATTTGAGGTATGCATCTTCAAGAATGTCTTTGGTTCAAGTGATTGTTGGGGGTCCAAATCTCCTTTTTAAATATTTATTAAACACAGTGTATTACTGCTGATACCTAAAACTGTCGTTATGCTGAAGTAAAGGATGTATGTTTTACAGATTAGTTTTTAAATCGAAGATTATTTATTAAGTGACTTCATCAGTTGAGTTTATTTTCGTGTTCTTCATTAAACATGTAGCTAAGCTCATTTGAACCAATTTACTAATGAATTAGCCCATTTTCTGTGGATTCCTTGTTAGATATTTTAAAAATCATTTTTCAGGGCACAGAAAAGCCTTGAAGTTTATTTGAAACAAGACTTGGAAGTGGAATTAAAAACTATACTAGTTTGCAGAGAAAAGTGTTTTACACCTGACTTTTAAGACACTTGTTTTAAGCCATCATTGCCCTGGTAGGACTAGTTTACCTGAAGCAGTTCTACTGTGCTGTAACCTTTGTGCTTGGGAACATGGCCTGTTCTGGTTGGTACAAAAGTTATGTAATATCACATTTGACTACATTTTTATAATCCTTTAAGCTCTGGTTTATATTTGTATGAACATTGGTTAGTTCAGCCCTCATCACCCAGTTACTTCTCAGTGATTAGGTCCACCTGGGGATCAGCCATTTAACACTCGAGTATTTTATTTTTTGTATTTTGAGACAGGGTTTCTCTGTGTAGCCCTGGATGTCCTGGCCAACCTCCAATTCACAGAGCTCTATAGCACAATTAATAAAAATTCAGAGACAGAAATTGGGGTTCAACCTGAAGTTCAGAAAAGCAAAACAGCCAGTCACTGACTTTTACCTCGACCTCAGTCTGAAATGGCGATCCTGCCTCCAGGAATCTCAGAGTGAGACTGTGTCTGAGAGCTGTCTCCTCCCATCTTACAGTCCTCTCTACGACTGGGATTCAGGGCATGCACCACCACCGCCCTGTTTCTATGGCAGACTAGTGTGGCTACTGGGTTTAAAAGTGTCACCACTGTCTGGTCTGTAAGGCTGATCAGTGGGGCTGTTTTACTCTCTGATCTTCAGGCAAGCTTTATTTATTAAAATACAAATGAAATATCACCTGTCTCTATCTCCCAAGTGCTGAGATTAAAGGTGTGTGCCACCACTGCCCGGCTCACACAGCCCTTACAAGTGGTACTTCACAGTCCTCATAACAGGGCTCAGTAAGATGCAATTATTGGGGGCCTTTGAAAAACCTGCTATTTCATGATTTTATTTCATTTGAAGAATAAAAGGGAAAATTAAATCCTACATTTTAGAATAACATCTTGAGGTTGCAGAGATGGCTTAGCAGTTAAGAGCATTCGCTGCTCCTCTACAGGGCCCAGGTGTGAGTTGCAGCCCTTTGTAGCTCCAGTTCCAGGGCACCCAACATCCTCTCTGAGCCTCTGTGCCAGACATGCACGTAGTATACAGACGTACATGTAGGCAGACATGCACGTAGTATACAGACGTACATGTAGGCAGACATGCACATAGTATACAGACATGCATGTAGGCAGACATGCACATAGTACACAGACATGCATGTAGGCAGACATGCACATAGTATATATACATGCATGTAGGCAGAACACCCATACACAGAAAAGAGCAAGCATCTTTGATGTCTGGGAGATGAAATAAACATTGTGAACTAAAGCGCAGGACATGTTATTTGTATATTTGATTTGTGGGAGTGGTGCTGGGGGAAGCTGTGCATTCTATCACTGAAGCATACTCCAGCCCTCAAGATTTTCTCAGGTAACTTTTCTGATTTCTTTGGACTTGATTTGCCTTCAGATAAAGAGCACTAGTTATACTTTATCAATTCTTTGCCTTTCATATCTGCTCCTAGAATTTCAGTTTTAAATAAGCACATTTTTCTTCAGTAGTTTAATAATTTCATTTTTGTTTTACACTGAACATAGGAGTGCTAAACTAAACCTTAAAAGAGAAAGAGAAGCCACCATGGCCAGAGGATCTGCCAGGGGTTGCACAGAAGGTTGAGTCTAGAACTGAACAGTGCTTAAACCATGACTGCAGCTTTCAGCTCTGCCCCTTTTCCTTTCAGTTACTAATTCACCTACTTCTTTTTCCTGCTGTGAGAGTCAGACTATGAACTGCCTCTTACAGGTAAACAAGTACAAGCCTGAGCTATCTAGTTAGTATTCTCAGACCTTGTTGGGGTGTTTGATAAGGTGTTTATATTGTGATAAGGTGCTTATTTTTGGTAGTCTCCACAGTGAAGAATAACCATATTGAAATCCAAAGCATTAGAAGCTTATGAGAACTCTTCGAGGCCTGCATTGATGAACTTGCAAATATATAGTAGTTAAAATTGGTAAAACATTTGAACTCACTTAAAAATAATTGGAAATGTTTTGAGGATATTTGTAACAGTACAGGATGGTTAGTCTGTCCTAGGACATCTGTTATATGCTACATTATTAGTTGAATGGTGCCCTAAGATGGGAATTCAAGACTGACATCTGGAGGAATTCCTGTGTTGCTAGGGATGGAGGGAACCAGAAGTGGCTGAAATGAAGCTCAAAACACTGAGTAACCGGAAAGTAGGATTTAGAAGAGGATGAATGTCATCCTGGAAAAGTACAACTATTGATCCTTAAATTTTGGGCTGTTTTAGGTTTGGTAGGAGAAGAGAAAGGTGGATCTGAGCCTGGCTGTGGGGGAAGTGTGACAGCTGTGCTCAGGCACTCGGAGCAGGCAGCTAGAAAGCCCTGCATATTTTTAATTGATTTTTATTGAGCTCTACATTTTCCTCTCCTCCCCTTCCTTCCTCTCCCCTCCCCTTCAACCCTCTCCCATGGTCCCCATGCTCCCAATTTACTCAGGAGATCTTGTCTTTTTCTACTTTCCATGTACATTAGACCCATGTATGTCTCTCTTAGGGTCCTCATTGTTGTCTTGGTTCTCTGGGATTGTGATTTGTAGGCTGTTTTTTTTCCTTTATGTTTAAAAACCACCTATGAGTGAGTACATGTGATAATTGTCTTTCTATATCTGAGTTACCTCACTCAAAATGATTTTCCAGCAAATTTCAAGATGTCATTATTTTTTCTGCTGTGTAGTACTCCATTGTGTAAATGTACCACATTTTTCTTGTCCATTCTTTTTTTATTTATTATGCATACAATATTCTGTCTGTGTGTATGCCTGCAGGCCAGAAGAGGGAACCAGACCTCATTACAGATGGTTGTGAGCCACCATGTGGTTGCTGGGAATTGAACTCAGGACCTTTGGAAGAGCAGACAGTGCTCTTAACCGCTGAGCCATCTCTCCAGCCCCCTTCTTGTCCATTCTTAAGTCAAGGGACATTTAGGTGGTTTCCAGGTGCTGGCTGTGACAAACAATGCTGCTATGAACGTGGTTGAGCACATGTCCTTGTCGCACAGTTGAGCATCCTTTGGATATTTACTCAAAAGTGGTATTACTGGGTCTTGAGGAAGGTTGTTTCCTAATTTTCTGAGAAATCACCATACTAATATCCAAAGGGGCTGTACCAGCTTGCATTCCCACCAGCAATGCAAGAGTGTTCCCTTTACCCTACAACCTCTCCAGCATAAGTTGTCATCAGTGTTTTTGATCTTGGCCATTCTTACAGGTGTAAGATGGCATCTCAGAGTTGTTTTGACTTGCATTTCTCTGATGACTAAGGATGCTGAGCATTTCCTTAAGTGTCTTTCAGCCATTTTAGATTCCTCTGTTGAGAGTTCTCTGTTTAGGTATGTACTCCATTTTTTATTGGATTATTTATTCTTTTGATGACCAATTTCTCGAGTTCTTTGTATACTTTGGAGCTCAGACCTCTGTCTGATATGGGGTGAAGCCCTGCATATTTGCAGAGCACTTTGTGCTACTTCAGTTATGACGCCACTTGGTGAGAGAGTAGCTCATCTCTCAATCCTGCTTCACAAACACTGGCTTCAAGAGAGTAGGAAATACCCATGTTTTATCTTTGGAAACCCAGTACCTCATATAGTGAGGGAAAGAAAGAGGGGCTTAAACTGTGATCTTGAGAGTCTGGGAAGATGGCTCAGTGGGTGAGAGTGCTGGCTTGCAGCACAAGGATGAGGATCTAGTTAGGATCCCTGGCCTCTACCTGGAAAAAGCTAGGAAGCAGGCACCTGTAGCCACAGTACAGGTGGTTGAAGACGGGAGACTCTCTGAACTTACTAACCAGCCAACCTAGCCAAAAAACAGTAACTAGTGAGACCCAGGTTCAGTGAACTCTCTCAAGAAAATAAAGCAGAGAGTGGTGAGACCACAATACCTGACACCCCCTTCTGGCTTGTCATGTGCATGCATAGGTGCATGTGCACATGTGTGTGCACACGCATACACACCCCAAATAATAGTTTTTCAGTTTTAAACTTTTTTATTTATTTTTTTATGTGCATTGGTGTAAAGTGTCAGATCCCCTGGAACTGGATCTTCAGACAGTTGTGAGCTGCCATGTGGGTGCTGGGAATTGAACCCTGGTCCTCTGGAAGAGCAGTCAGTGCTCTTAACCACTGAGCCATCTCTCCAGGCCCTAGTTTTTCAGTTTTTACATGAGAATATTGCAGGCTATTTCTGAACAACTTACTTTGATTTACACATTATGGGGTGTGTATGTGCGTGTGTGTAAATGGAAGCAGTGAATCTTTTCTCAGACAAACTGGTAACTGAAGAATGCTGGGAAGCAGGTTTAGTGAGTAGATGGTGTGCCGTTGAGACATGAAACCGTGAGCTCTGGAGTACAGAATTAATGCTGTTCAGACCTCTTTACCACAGGAGTTCATCCATAGGTGCCATAGTACATCATGGGAGAGATCTAGGACCACACCTAGAAAAGAAAAGCCTGTGGACATAGAGATGGCTCGGAAGTTAAGAGCCCTTGTTGATCTTCCAAATGACTTAGGTTTGGTTCCCAGCACCAACACACACCAGTTCACAACTGCTTGTAGCTCTAGCTCATGGG